GAATATTCTTATCATTAAATCCCCTGAAGAGTGAAGCAATTCACGAAACAGGCTTGTCGGGAAAAATGTTGTCTTGACTTTTTCTTTTCAAACAAATATATATTTACTTATGTATGTATTTTTTAAAAGGAGCAGATTCTATAAATCATAATAAGCCTTATGTTTTTTAAGGAAAAATTGTTAACCCTTAAAAACAACGATGATTTTTTAAAATATAGTATTATATTTCTATAGCTTACTCACCTTTAGCTCCGTTTTTCGTTCGTTCTGCACCGAGTAAAGCGGCTAGAATTATTATAATGATGATAAGAATTATAAGTAGAAGAAGCAGAAGTAGAAGCTTCAGTTTGGTGAAGATATATCCTCCTTTTGGTCCTTTATTCACAACATATGTCTCTGCTGACTTGTCACCTTTCGGCTCCAGAGGAACCTCTTCGTTCACGTTCCTCATTCCCAGAGAATTGAATCAGGATATTTTATTCGATGTTTCCGTGTTAAACGAGCGAGGCAAACATGAATGATTCGCTTCGACGGGTTCCAAATTCATTAAGAAACACCAAGTGTTTACAACCAGTGTTAATTTATTCATGGCTTCAAACTTATTCAGATAAGCACTCCCTTATAACGTATTGAGGTGTCTGCTGATAGAGGAAATGGTAGTGATTGCGTTAAGGTTATCGGCTGAAAGCTAGCCAGCTAATTCTGGGTCAAAACCAAGCTGAAAGATGTACCGGGTTTTAATGCTGTTCAGCGTTCAGTTTTTTTTAGCAGCACGTTCGAAAAAAAGCCCTTGAGAACCACCTGCAATGCCCAACAGCGCTATTATGACCAAATACGTATGTCATGAAAAATCCAAAAGTCAAATTTTGAAATCTATATTGTACAAGCGAAGATTTTTTTTCTTTTTAATCTTTTAATGCCATTCGTGGTTTTGTTTTACGATTGGAGATGACAGTTACGAGACGACAGCCGTCTCTATATGTTATCTCAAGACCACGTTTTTACTGATTACATTCAATTCTACAGCGCTAGATTTACCGGGTATACACGAGGCGTCTTTTTTGTTAGCAGGAGTCAACTGTTCTTACGCTTCAAAGAGTAAAACTAGTAAGCGTTCTTAGGAAGAAGCCAATGAATAACAGGCCAGTGGAGGGGCTTCTATACCCTTTTCAGAATTTGCTGCAAGGACAGTTGTCCCCCCTTCTGTACAAAATGCATGGCATCGCTAGGCGTATACCAGCACAGTATCGGGTTGTTGTTATGTCTTCATCATTACTTCATCATAACGACTAGACACTTAATAAAGTGATTTATTGATTTATTAACTCCCATACAATCCCTTATAAACCATACACAGGAACTTAGTTTGGGCTGCCTGTGGTGCCCCCTGAATATTTCTAATCACGACCGCTGAAGATTTTTGGTCCTCGGGGAGGGGGGGAGTTTACTTATCATTATATACAAAGTTCAAGAAGCTCCTGAAGAAACGACTACATATGTTTAGGCGGCACGAAGAATAAAAAGTGCTAGAAGTAAGGTGACCAAAGTTCTTTTTTCGACGCTAATATACACACAATGTTAGCTAATTGCATTGCAGAAGTTTTTATTGAATGTTTTTTTTATTATTTTGAGTAAAGTTCACTATTGGGGGTACCCTAATTTCCAAAGGCCCGTGTGTATTATGGGCTGAAATAGCTTCAAATAAGCCATCTTGCTTTTCCCACAGGGAGCCCAAGTTTTACAAAATCTTTATCACTGTGAATTTGACTGCGTCAATAAGAATATGATGAACTTGGGAGGTTGTAGAAATAAACAAAGAGAGAAAAATATTGAGTGTAGGATGGGGG